GGTCTGAGAGGCGCACCAGGGCTGGTCCCACCCCTTCTCCTTCCTGATTGGGACTCAAGGCCCTGTGTCAGTCAGGCGGTGAAACACCAAACAGGATTGCTCTGCTCGTTCTCTCTGGAGCCCAAGTACGTGGAGCGGGGGCCCTGTGCCATTTATTAAAGCCCTACGCTTGGAACCTTTTTGCCTCGGTGAGTGGCCCCGCCTAGGGGTGGGGTGGGAGTCATGGGGCCATGCCTCTCGTCCCTTGGGCGAGGGGACAGCAAACTATCATGGTGAAGGAGTAACGAAATCCTCATTTCGGATCTACATAAGCTTTGTTTTTAAAAGGCAACACAATTTTTGGGGGCCACAAATGACCACAAATATTTGTTTTCAGGAGGCACCAAAATCTGGTAACACCATAACCGGCTTCAAACTTGCATTCCCGAGGGTACCAGATTTCAGAGCTACAGCAATGTTGTGCCACCCAACTTGATGAAATCTTGGATTGGCTCCTTGGGCTAGGGGCACCAAAACAATCAGTTTGAGGCATCATAGATTTCATTTCGCGGCAATATATCCTTTATTTTAAAGACGCCCATTATCGAAATGAGCCATTCCAATTCCCCAAAAACGTTTGGCTTAAATAGGGACCAAAATCCTTAGATGGCGCAGTGCTTATGTTATGTAGGGCATGACGAGTATTAGAAGCAAATTAAGATTACCCACTTACAATGATTATATACGTAATATTCATTAAGTAGGTGATACTGTTGATGCATTTTCGGTCACGGACCTTTCTCACAGGATCAAAAACTCAAATATAAGGCAGACACCAGATGCTAACCAGCGTTGAGAGCATTTTTTCCCCAGCGTGCAAGTGATTAGATGGCACACATTTCCCACACTTTGACCGAACAAAATTACAATAAATCACAGGCGAAAAACACACTAGCTTTGTACGGATAAAGACTGCATTATTCTCCAGATGGGATAGTTTTATTAGTACGGGTTTCAGGCTGCGTCTGTGAATTGATTTATGGGCGTAGGAACAGGGGGGCCAGAGGGGCCATGCCCCCCCCCCCACACTTTTCAAGATGGGGGCCGGGGGGCAGCAATGTTAATTGCTCCCCCCCTTTCAGATTAAAGTTGCCGCTTTTGCACCACATTAAGCATGCGTGCCGATTTACCTCGTTCACCAGCCATCTTCCTCAAGATGCATCACCTTTTTCGTTCGCTTATTGGCAGTCGGTTAATATCACATCCGCAGGCCGACGCCGCGGATGGCCTGGGTTGCGGCTTCGACAACGATGGCCTGGGTTGCGGCTTCCGTAAAACCGAACGGCGTCGGCCGCTGGAAATGCCACTAGACTTGCAGTGTTACGGAAAGACAGATTAACGCGGCGGGCGCCGTGTTATTGTTTTCTGGACAAATTAATTGTCACAGAAACACGAAAAATTGATATTCTTCTTTTATTCTTCTAGTTCCACCAACACCAGCACCACTTCGCGGTGCTTTAAGGGCCAATCCGCTCTTATGATCAGTTTAAGAATAGCACACGTGAAATATGCGCCCAGACTGCCTTCTAAATGTGCGATTTGACGTCCCGAACCGTTGAAATGTACTTTTCCGAAGTGTCATCATTTTCGTCCACCTGTTGGCCAGGGTTCAATCTTTACTGCTGGACCAGCGCCGCGCGGCCCACGGAGGCTGCGACGCCTGGCGTCGAGGTTTTGTTACTAGGATTTACGAGCCTGCATGCTCAAAACTATGTCACATAATTTGTATTACTAGCCGATTTAAATGTTCAAAGGTAAATATTTCAAAAGCGCCATCATTTTTGTCCACCGGTGGGCCACGGGGAAAAAATTAGCCCCTGGGTCAACGTGCCGCGGACTATGGAGACTGCAACGCCTCGCGTGGATGTTTTGATGCTAAGATTTGCGAGCGCGCATGTTACGCGATCACGTTACATAAATTGTTTCTCTTGTCGATTCTGACTGAATGTTTAATCTTTCCAGACAAACACGGCTTGGCCATGTTAATACACATTGTTGACCACTCGATCTACAATCAAATTTTCATCTTTAAATTTGGATCAAACATATCCATCTACAATCAACCTTCGCGATGTACTTAATGTCTGAAGAACCCAGATAAAAATTATTGGAATGTCGCCTCCCCAGGAAAGACAATGTTGAAATGGACGAATCGCCTTGGAAAGCTGGATAACCTTGGTTGCCGAGTAACATAGATGAGTCGAATGGGCAAGATTGTGCACTAATGAGAAACGGCTCTAGATGCATGTCATTTGAATAAAGACCGGTAACAACCTCCATCTCTACCCCTCCTCCCCCCCCCCGGTCAACAGGCTGGCTTTCCAAAAAAAAAAACAGAAAAAGTTCCTGAAGTACGCCCTGAGCTTGCTTGCCCCTCCCCCTACTTTTTGAAACGCTCCTACGCCTATGGATTGATTCACAAATTTTGCGAATGAGGTCTTTGTTTTGTTTTGTTTTTGTTGCAAAATTACAAGGGCGAGGGTTCTCATTACGCTGAAACTCATGGGTTCTGATTACGCCGTTGCCGGATGAATAACAGGTCGTGAAAAGCTGACCGAACTATATTGTGTTTCAAAAGCATTTTGGTCTTACCATACCAAAGGAACATCAATATCAGATCTTTTGACAACGGATTTTATGCTTCATCCACGTATGGTAACGCAAAATAGCTATCCAGGTATTGGTCTCGTTGGTGTCAATCGTGTGATTGCTGATGCTGACGATGTGCTTGTTGATGTTGATGACGATGTTCCCGAAGCTGGCTTATCTTGGCTTTGCTTTTCCAGTCGATGTTATTGTGTGGTTTCGCGGCGAACGTGACGTGGAAGTTGTTTTTGAGTAGCCGTTTTCTTTGCACGTATTTGGTTTTTTTTTGACACAAGCGGCCATTTGCAGGCAGTATTTGAAGATATTTTAATGGCTCGTCCAAATTCTGAACGGATGACGGCTTTTTTGTTGACATAGGATGGCCTGATGTGTTGTAGATGGTGTTCCCGGAATGGCTAGGCTTGCTGAAGAGTTCCGTTGAAAATTTGAAGCTTTGATCAACCATCACGAGTGCATCCGGAAATGCAAGCTGTCCCGACATATGTGTGTCTTCTAAGGTAAACTTGATGCTGTTATGGAGAGGACTTAGGTATTGATGAAGTCCAACAGCTCTTCGTGAGAGTGAGTCCAAACTCCTACAGATCTGTTCATGTATCTGGCGTAAAAATTAGGTTTTATGCTCGCGTTGTTAATGGCAGCTTGTTCAGATTTGTTTCGGATGAGTTTTGTACACGTTTAGAACCTGTTTCAGTGACCTAAACTTCTCCTCAGTTTGGCCCAAAGTCGGTGGAGGCCTTTTTTGCTGAGTCTGGGAAGTTGGACTATAATCTGCTCTCAATAATCTTTTCTTCATGGTGTTGTTCTGTGAGATTAGTTTCAGCACGTAGAAGTGAGCTATCTTTTATACTTTTTCCCCCTGTGGTTGTCAGGTGCAGGAAGCGTGGGTGAGGTGTTTTGGGGTTAGGCGTGAGTAAGTCACGTTGAGAGAAGTCTTTCCTTTACCGTAACCCAAACGCTTCATCCCTGCCTGTACTTGTTCCGGAATTGCATTATTAATGGTGTTTGTCGCTGGAAAATTTTGAGCCTTTTGAGAGTAAACTGACACCAGGCGACAGGGACACGGCTGATAGATTGGGGGCACATTTGATTGCTTTTATACCTGTATGATCGACGTCAATCGGTTGACTTGCTCGGTTTCCTGTCCTCTTCGTGATCTTCTTGTCCGTTACGCGGAGGAAAACCCGATGATTCTTCTACATCACCGTCGGTAGAATTATCTTGTTCGTCATGGATGATGGATCTGGATGGTAGCTGCCGTTTGATCAAGGCATTGAGCTTGCTGTTCCAATCACTGGTTGCCGTTCTCCATAGCCTCTTCAAAAATTTGCCTGTACGAACTTTTCATCTAAGAAAAAAATCATCCATCCGTCACAATTCGTGATTCCGCCGACAGCTTTCTTCCGAAAGGCGTCTCTAATCGATTTGTTAAGAAGCTTGGAACGAAATACCGCACATATGAATTGCTAATAATATACATATGAATCGCTTTACTTCCAAGGAATATCTTGCTGACTGAAGCTGTGACGTCGTTTATAACACACGGTGTACCATCTGTTTTCCTACAAGATAACAAAAACCTTATTGTTAGAATGACACTGCTGAGCTTCATTGGTGTCTGCACGATGTTGACATGCACTTCACGGCGGTCACTGTTTTGTTCAATAACTCTAACATGGCACAGTGCGTGTGCGATGGCAGGCGTTGCAAGTATTAAAAAGGGATTAATATGACCCCTTACGATGATTACATGCGTAATCTTTTTAAGTGAGTTGCATTTTTGATGAATTTTTGGTCGCGGACCTTGCTCACAGAGTCAAAAATTCAAACAAAAGGCGGGCACCACATGCAAGCTAGCGCTAAGAGCGGTTTTTGAGAAATCGATACTGGTGTCTCAAGCTACGCTTTGAATGGGGGACGGTTTGTTATGGTCTTCCTTGCGTGATGTATGCGAGTGCCTCGAGACGCAATTAAAAAAGGGGTGATTTACAATGACCTGGTCAAGTTGGGTTGTCGGACATAAACCACGTTAAATGCCATTTCTGATCGCATTCCGCTACCACGCTTCTTCGAGTGCGACCTCGCGGGTGCGAACGCGATTCAAGTCCCCCGCGCGTTAGGGTAAATGGTGACGATAGCTTTCTGTGGTTTTGAATACCCGCTCGGTGCAGCTTCTTGATACTGTGATTTATTAGTTGAATAACGTATCTCACTCAAACATTTTACTGTCAAATATCTACGAAACTAAGTCTTAGCCATGCATCCAGTTAAAATATTCTTGAATGGTCGGCAAACCACCATCGCAGAACAGCCATGCATTCTGCTCAGCTGATCGTTCGCAACGCCGGGGGCGATCGCGCAGGGAGGAAAGGGGATGCGGTGTGGGGAGAGCCCATGTTTTTGATCTCCCATTTTGTCAAGTAAACGCATCTTTGCTCTGATAAGTGTGCGTCTGTGCACTTTTTGTCCATAATTTAGTCATATACAAGGTAACGGCCGACCTTGTATTCAGGTGAGAAGGCAGAGTTCGGTCGCAAACTTTGCGTCGGTTTTGCCTTCATGTGACCGTTGGATGGTATACACTGATCATGAATCGTGGGTGACATCTGTGCTTAACATGAAAACCATGAAAGCCTGGTCTTGGGATCCAGCATATTAATTTTTGGCATACCATTATTTGAGAAAAGAAAATGTGCACCATTGCCATTACTGGATACTTAAGGTTTCATGCATACCACCATTTGTGGATAGTTGGGCCTAGGGCATGTGATTATTTTCTGTGGTTTAAATTACAGTATGTTGTGCATCTCTTATGTGTATATGCGCTGTATTATGGGATATGTTACATGAAATGCTGTAGGCATTTTTTAGAACAATGGTGCATGAAAGCATGGTTCTATGCCTGTTTTAAGCTATTGCTATATATTTCCAAGTTATGCTCAATTAGTTGATCTTTATATTCGAAATTTCCCTTTCAAGTGTGCTGCAGGAATGATTTTGTTGCCAGATAGCAATAATTGACAGTTTACCATTGGCTGCATGAGTTTTAATATATTTCTGTAATCTGTTTTGTGTTGTGCAACTAAGTTAAGGCATGAAGCCTTAATCAAGACCAAATTAAGACCAAATGACCAAGGCAGAATTAAGTGCCAAGGCCAAGTTAAGGCATGGAGCCCAAGCCAACCACTGCCTAGTTGACTTGATATTTGATGTGTTTGAAATGCTTGTGGGAAGAAACAGAGAAGGAAGCATTTTATATTTTGCTGATTTGTAACTGAGCACACTCATATTTCATGAGTTAGCTAGCTTAGAAAAGATGTTTTTCATCCAGATCAAATGCATAGTGTTACATGTGTTTTTTACATTAAAAATGGTATGCATTAGCTTGAGAGGCAATGTGTTGCATAACCTTCCAGTCTTCCTCTATTTGAACACTGTCTGCTATTAATAGATTTTTTGAAAGTTGGTATGTTGCAATGAAATCATTACACATCCCATAAATTCTGGTCAAAAGGTGATCATATATCATATTATATATATATATATATATATATATATATATATATATATACATACTATATATATATATATATGTCATATATATTTCATCACATATATTTCATCCATGCATTATTCATGTGATGGTAAGAACCTTGGTACTGTCAGCTGATCCTCAGCCAGCAATGCAAGTCTTGTCATCTGTCTTGAGAACATTTCTTTTCAAGCTGTGAGTGTGCCTTAACTTAAAAGAACCCATGTTAAATGTATTGGTATGCCATGAGCTCCAGTCATTGTCATTGTCATTTTGGGGTAAAAAACCAGCAGGGAGCCATCATCATGACTGACATTTTATGACAGACTGTATGAGGAGAAGTAAATGCAGCTTTGTGTATGGGAATTAGTTCTCAAAATGGCATAATGGTGAGGTTGCTTTGTTTTGCTATGTCAATACTTGTAGCCCGGAATAAATGAGAACTGCTTTTAACCTAGCGGTGTATGCTGGCAATGCTGGTGCTTTGCTGGCACAGAACAGTTTTGACCACATGGCCTATATTGATGCTCAGCAGCAGTGGTTGTGTCTGGCATGCTTTGCTGGTGCATAAGGTCTGTGGTCTGAATCCATGGACCTAGACTTGTAGTAATACCAAGCCGATACCAGGTTTTTAGGAAACAAAACATAGCTAGTTTTGGGTGCACATGCCAACTGGCAATTGAACACTAGGTGGCAAAAGGTTTATTTATTCTGAACTGTTGTGGATCAGTGGCTGGTTATGCTTTTCATGCACATTTTCTTTTCTTTTGAGGCAAAACAAAGTGCTAGGCATAGGGTGCTGTCCTGTACACAATCATGTTATCTTGACTTGGCACTTTAAGGGAGTGCTCCATATTTGGAGGCATTGAAGCAAGCATCAGGCATGTTGAAATGAGCTCACATATAATGTTTGAGACACTTTTTCAGTAGAACAGGCTGTTCTAGATAACAGAGTCTCTGTTCAGTAAATATGTTCCTTAACATGTTCTCCTCCCAAAATGGCATATCTTTGTGGGCTTGTAGTTCAGAAATTAGAGAGTTTTAGGTCAAAAGGGCAGGGCTATGGACTTACCAAATGATTTTCAAGATGGCTGTTTCAGTGTGAAACCTCGCACAAATCTGCAACACTCCCTTTAAAGGTCTTTGTCTCCCATCTCATTGACAGGGATTGTAGATGGACATAAGTATGGATTTTGGACTTTGGATGGACTTTTACACAACTTGTAATGTGGGACCCTGTGCATATTCATCTATCCAAAGTCAACCAAATATATGCATTCCACAATAAGGTGCAGCAGCCTGTAACCCAATGTGAAGAAAATGATGATTTTATAGGAATGCACAATGCTTCTAGATAAAATTGATGGAAATGCTACCTAACAACTTTAAAATATTTGATTGAAACATGCCTCCTCATTGATTTCATCATGAAGTGATAACAAATACATATTGCACCACACCTAATGCATGTCCATACCTTATCAGGTAATGGACCCACCATATTCATATTTATCTGGAATGCTTCAACCAATCTGTGTGGTGGGGCTTGGGTTACAAGCACTTGCTAAGCAGATGTTGCTGCATGTGGCCCAAGCCCACCAGCAAAGGCAGGCTCATCAAGTTTTTCAGATAATTTTGCCTCTGGCATTTTTCCTGCAGAGGGCCATTGGATGTTTTGTGTGCAATGCCCCAACACAGTTGCACTGCTTTGGGTTGGGCTTTTGGTCAGGTGCCAGCTGATGTGTCCATGCCAGTCAAGCTGTGCAATGCATCCATTTGTGGACCCCTATCCATGGCTGCTGGTCAATAAGCCAAGCATCATTTCTGTGCAGTGCAGGAGCAGGCTATGTGATTATTGGCATACAATTTTTTTCTTCTGTATATTCTACTGTTTTGATTTTTGGTACCTAGTACTCACTTGAATGCGCCTTGTTGCCTGTGTGAATTATGGGTTTGCTGTTTTTCAATGTGCATGTTGTGTGGTATTCACATTTTCACTTTGCTCTTTTTCCATCACTCCGAGCTTTGTGGTGAAATTGAATGAGGTTTGGAGATAATTCCCTGAGCAATAGTTTTAAGCATGAAAGCAGTGCAGCCCCCCCCCCCCTATTTGTTTAGCAAAGCAATGCAGCAACTTGGGATGCAGACCTCACCAAGACATCAAGTGAGATCAACAATTGTGGAACACATGCATTGAAATTGCCAGCAAGTTGTGGGTAACTGAAGGGGATGGAGTTGGTCAGCACTATGAGTGTGATGCCTTGTGGATGATTTGTTGGCATAGCCCAAATAGTCACCTTGCTTTTGGATTTTTCATTGATCAAGCTGTACTTCTTTATTTTGTGTTTGTGCATCAAACAATACTTCGTTCATCAACAGCTGTAGTACATCATAATGGAACTGTTAAAGAACAACTGAACTGGACAGAACTGAACTGAAGGGATTCTCTTATTGCCTTATCTTGTCATATGGCTCTCACATGTGGAATGCACATACACATGTTGTTACTTAATCAAGCCACCAACACACCCAATGAAAAATTTGGCAAGTGTTTTATTTTCACAATTTTCAGTCTCACAATTGTTCTAGTGTTTGACCAACCTTTTAGTGGCCTGAAGCACTAGGAATTTTTGACAGTAAGCTTGCCATATTTATCATGTGAGAAATCTTTATCCATCTGTGGTCCATCCTATGTTTCCATTGAACAGAAAGTTCAGAATGTGAACATAGGCAGAGAAAAAAAGATAAACCACAGTGAAACCCATATTTGTAGTTTTTCACCACCCCATGCATAAAGGCACGTGGTCTCCGGCCCCCGCCGCGCGAACCGCCGTGTCTGACGGCGCCGCCACTCCGCTGCAGACTCTTAGCGCACACGTGGAATGCCTGCCCTCCCAGACTGCGTTTCGAATGGCCGACTCTGCTAGCGCGGACGCAGGCGTCGACGACTGCATCGCCCGCCGACTCCGTTCGTCAGCCGCCCGCCGCCAGAGGTCCCACGACCGATCCGGTAGGTCGCCGGCACCCGCGCACGCACGCACGCTCGCGCGGCGTCCGTGGCGCCCGTGAGTCTCGGCTCGCAGCAGGCGAGTTGAGGTGTGTTTGTTGGGGGGGGGGGGAGGGGTCAGGGCCCCTGGGTTGGCCAATCAGTTAAGTTTGTGTGTGGGATAAGCGATCCGGCTGGTTGACCGTAGTCGGATGCATGATTGAGCTTGTGTACCTCAGATAAGTTGAATGACTGGCTAAATTTGTCCGCTGTTGAAAAGGGAAAGCAATAGTAACTGGCGAGGCACCGGTGCTGTGGGGTTTGTTTGCCTGAGAAAAGTTCTTTGGAAGACATCCTGGTTGGTAACAGTTCACGTAGGTTTAAGTAATCTGATAGCGCTGATCAATTGGGCTAAATTTCGATGTTTTCTGCTAAATTAGTTGGTACAGAAAACTCTGGCACCATGCAAATGATGCATACATTGGTGTAAACTTCTCAAAATGATTGGGGGGGGGGACTTGGAAGTTGCCATAAGGGATAGGTACGATAGGTACGAAAAACTTATCGTATGCCGTCCAAATGTGGCCTGCTTTTCTGGTCGTTTATTTTATATATACATATATATATATATATATATATATATATATATATATATATATTTGTATATATATATATATATACACAAATGGATATCCAATATACACATAGATATGCCGCACTCACTACCTGTTTGAAAGTTCGGGTGCATAGCCACAGCGATCGTATATGGAAACGTCGCAGTTGTATCAGGCTATTATATGCACTTGTTTTGTAAAGCTGAAGGGGTGCAGTTGTACCTTTCTTTTAGACTGAAAAGTAAAATCTGTGCCTAATTTACCATTCTACGTTTCAGTAAGTTTTTGGTGCTTTATATGTGTGTTCACAAGAAAAGTATTCACAATCCATCTGGCTTCGCATCTCGTTTACACGGTGGCTCTCGACACCCTAAAGTTTCAACAATGAACTCACGCATTTTAGTTAATGTAAAACAAAACATAAGCACTCCTCCATGCATTTTTTTCACTTCAGAAAATGGTTCTCAAGGTCTTTTTCAAAACATTTAGGCTCATGCCCTCTTGATAATATCTTTTACCACTCACTTCATCATACGCGCATCGTGAGCCAGCTATACTTCTTGGAGACATTGTTCCAAGCTGTTCTGTGACTGAGAGGAAATCGGCGCTAACATGCACCAATTCGAATGTGTGACAAATGAAACGACCATGATGTTAATGACAAGCGCCAGGCAGGTTGATTTTAAAAGCGTTGCTGGTTCAGCTGGCTCCTCAGTGACCATATTCGTCTGGGAATGTGCAGCCTTTGTTCAGAACCTAGAAGTGGATGAATTACATAACGTAGTGTTGACCACGCGAGCTCTTAAGCCTTTGAACAAAACCCCGGTGCCCGCTGTTGCAGTCTCCGCAGGCCGCGCGGCGTCGGCCCGCTTGCTGATATTAGACGGTGGGCAGTGAGCGGTCAAAAACGACAACGTTTCTGGAACAAGTACCTTTGAACGCTTTAGAATGTCAGTTTGTAAATTTGGAAGGTAGTTCGGGAGCATGTTTGGCTTGCACAGTTTGCGTACTTGTAATATGCTCGGATTAGCATTCACAGCACTGCGAACCGGTGCCGAAATTTGGTAGTGGAATTAGACAAGTAAAAATGAAATATCTCTTTTCGTTTGACAGTCGCTTTTTAGCCCTTTATAGAACTTCCTCACAACTTTGGTTGTGAAAGCACTCTACAGTTAAATTTGGAGACTGGACGAATTCATTCTGTAAGACTTTCAGAGGCATCATTTCACGATGGCTGTTCTCGCACGCCAGGCGCCCTCCCCGACCATCGATGTTCTGGCTCCTAAGATTGCGAAGACGGAAGCTCAAAACTTTGATGTAGTTTGTTTTATATGTTGCTCTGGAACAAGGATGGATGCGGGGGTGTCACTTTCTAAAATTGGTTGGGGGATGGGGACTAAGCCAGTGAAGTTGACTTAACCTGCCATCAAATCATAAGTTTCTTCCCGAACTTCGGTCACTTGGTTCCCGATATCAAAATTGAAATTAAAGAGACACTTATTTCGTGGGTCTCAAAATCGTGTTGATGTTGAGCAAGACTTCCCTCTGGAAGGCGATGTGATGGTGATAATGATGATACATGATGATGCCTAGTGTCTCAGTAGTTCCGGCACCTGCTGCACTTCGCCAGCCCGGTGTTCTCTTGCTCATATGCGATGGGGACGGGTGCTCAGGAGAGCATTGAAAGGGCCCGAGTCATCATGGAGGACGAGGGGGGAGGGGGGGGGGGGTCAGGCTCGCTCGAACGCATACAAAATGACACCCCTGGATGGGCCCCCTCATTTGTGTTGACTTTTTCCTCTTGTCACTTTACCCGCCCTGTCTAACACTAGAGGCATCCCACGACAAATCGCCAGGTCGAGGGCGTCATTTTTGCACCCCCAGCCCTCGGATGTTGATACCAATGAGTATCAGGAGTTGTCAGCGGCGTCGAATACGCATGTGACAGGTAGACACTTACAGATTTCTCAGTGCAGCGGTTTCGGAGTTACAGCCTCCAGAATTTTCATGTTGTGTTGAAGGGTCAGTTCAACGGCGATTTTTTTTCGCTGCGATGGAAAAAAGCTGTGCAAATCGTCATGTCAAAATGGTTAGAAAGCCTTCAAAACTACGTCTTGCGTGAAATCGTCATTGCACAAGAAACATTGATTGTGCATTATGAGCATATGTAATGCATGCAGACCCCCTATTCCTACGCGATTTAGAACCTTTTGTCATTTTCTTTTGAATGAGCGTAGTTTGAACCCCATCATTCAACAATACAAAGATGGTTTCAGGTTTGGCAAGGATGGAAAACTGTCACAGTACGGGCCTACGCCTCATTCGCGCTATCCTCAGTCGGCTGCCGGCGCAGCATCTCCCAGGCGTCTCTCCGCACAGGCGGCGCCAGGCCTCGGGAGGGGCAGGGTATGACGAGGTGGCGACAAACGACAACAGTGAGCGTCTGTGACGTCATTCGCGAAGTCCTGGTGCAGGTGTCCCCTGACCTGGAACCGCTGTACCCTGTGCTTACTATACGATCAATCAGTCCCGCCATGTCGGGTCGAGCCTGGGCCCCTCATTTTGTCTTACTTGCTACCGGAAATCAGGCGTGAGTTTCCACGGTTTGTCATGAGCTTCTTGGAAAAAGACGGAGCGAAAGCAACAACAAAAAAAACAGTGAAGAATAATTATATTTGTTGAAAAGGAAAGTGACGACATTGTAGGACAGCACTAAGCTTAACAACACGATGGCTCGTATGCACGTGGAAGTCGACTCAGTGTAGTGACTCGATATAAATCAGTGACTCAGCACAACTCGCGCTTAAACTATCAAAACTCTTGACATCAAGCAACCTCTACTTCCTTTCCAACGCCTGACGCTGTCACTGGGGTTACTCTGCAAACCTCAGGCGTCCGTCTGAGTCTTGGCTGCAGCCAATGTGATCCAAAGCTCATCCTCCGTCCGAAAGACTTCTTTGCGTACGAAGAAACATACCGCCCGCACATTAGCCTTGTCTTGCCATAACTGGCGCAGCTTCTCAGCAGAGAGAATATTATCGGAATAGAAGCGCGATAGGCTGGCACTGGCAGCAACCCCTTCTAGGTCCCCTAACCCCGTGGCAAGAGTTCTTCCCCATAGGATGTGGACAAGTAATGCCACTCGCGCTTGACGCCAAAGCCCTCTTCATGAAAACAAATGTTCTGTTCTGTGCACTGTTCGTTGGATCTGTTCTTGTACTGCACAGGCGATCCATTTGAAGGTATTGCAGTTTTCGAGATTTGAAACGAGGCTTTTCACTTCCAGCAAAAGGTACGGTAGAAAGGCATGGACCACAATAGTGTTATGGTTCATCGCGTCTGACAACGCGCGCTAACTTTATGCGTAATTTTTCCAGCTTCTCGCCAACATAGCAGGAAACGATGCGGCATGCATTGCAGGGCATCTTGATGAAACTAATTAACTTTGTTTTGAAGAAACTAATTAACTTTGTTTTGAACGACGAAAGTGTAGCTTTCTGAAAAGTCTAGTCTAAAGAAGTCTAAATAAAAGCTTTGTTCTCAGGCAGTGTTTTTTTTTCAGTTCATCGAAAAATTTACCATTGTGCTGCGCCGCTACGGGATGTCTAGTCAGTGCAAATGTGGCTTCGGACAATTAGGCCAAAAAACTCATCCACTGGCAGAACAAGATCAGATGAAGTACAGCGGTCGGTGCTCACCTACCGGCCAAAACTGATTTCATCGATTTGATCCAAAGTGTCCTCTGCTTTCGCATTGATTGCGTCGCTCAAAAACGATTGCACATCATCCTGACCCGGACAGTTCTCACCCACATCATGCGGGATTCCCTACATCACACGCGGCGTGACTCAGTAGGTTCTCATAAGTTACGTTTCGCGCGCCGCGAGATCCTGCCGTCAGCTTCGCGTTGTAGTGGCAACAGCGTACGCGAACCGCGTGAGTGCCGCTACTACACATACACTACTACATACACTACTACATACCGCCGCTACTACGCACAGTGTTCGGGTGGAGACTAGCGAATTTGGAAGACGCGATTAGTGTTAGCGCACTACAGTACCATGCACTACAACTTATATGTCGCGGTGCATGGTGCTGTCATGTGTATGTTTGTTCGTTCGCCTCCAAATGGGGGAAGCGCATTAAGCCCTTGTCTCGAAGACACCTGTAATAACACCTGTCTCGAAGACAGGTGTTATGTCTGCGTCAAGTGTCTAACCCCATGCAACGCTTAGACGATCTCTTATGAAACCTTCGATCTTGTCCCATAGCCTTCCCCTCGCAGGTGATTGTTTTTCCCGCGTATTTCACGCGTACAGGGCGAAGCGTGTGCTATTGGCCACGAGAATGTGTGGATAATTATGGTGTCGCAAATACGTAAATGGATAATATGCATGGAAGATAAGATGCTACAATGCTGGTACCATTGAGTAACCTTGACTTCATTCATTCAAGGGAGGCGGACTTGGAGGGCCAATTCCTGGGCGTGACGTTATGTCTAAAACCGCTTATCCATTTGAAAACGCCAGCTTCCGTTAAGTGACTTCACCACCGGCTTACCTTTGAAAACAGCTATTGTGTCACCCTTCGTGCGCCGAAAATTGAATGATCTTGTGGAGGAGTCGACGTTACAGGCACATGTATTCACACTTTATTAAGGTTGGGTCACCATGAGATTAAGTTGCTTGGTGTGACGAATGTCCTGAAGCCCAAACACAGCATGGCCAGAAGCAGGACATTGTTAGAGGCAGGCGGCAGATACAGGAACCATAATAACCCGTCTATAGGAACTATATTACCGGTTCTTCATTATGATTGGCGTTATTGATTTGTAAGTTTGTATTCAACATGTTGCTGTATGCCGAAGCATGTTTGTAGATGCACTGCATACTGGCCGTGCTAAGGATTGTGCCGCGATGAGTGTATCGTTTATGTCTCGGTAATACGGGAGCTAAACATCACGTCTAGCTCTTCAGACTGTTAACATGATCTGCAGACTATACGACAACCCGCTGAAGTCTGTGAATGCACATCCGACCAATAATAGCATTTCCCACCCAACTGAAGGCCAGCGGCTGGCCGTCCGCGGCGGGACGCTGCCGCCGGGTCTGGCCAAACACGGCCGTGAGCAGGCCGTGCTGACCCCACGTGTCGCGCCGCCAGCAGACGGGTCCGGCTCGAGGCGCAGCGCGTCCGGCAGCGGGCAGAGCGCCGGCGGCGAGCACAAACGGTCGTCTCGCAGCCCGCCGACGGCGGCCCGCGCGGAGAAGCGGCGACGCGCCGACACGCCGCCTGAGCGCGAGCAGGAGGCCAAGCGCCGACACAGTGAGTGGGCCGCTCGGGAGGGTGGGCGGACGCTTGGTGAGCTGGAGTGGATGGCGACGGCTCACCGGCGCTGCTGGTCGGCTGTGTGTGTGTGTGTACGCGCGCTGCGAGGCTGCAGGCCGTGTGATTTCCGTCGGGCTGTGATTGGGAGTTTGGCGCGCGGCGTTTAAAGCCGGTTGGTTTTGTTGCTGGAAGAGCTGGGTATATACGAACAGTGCTAATGGCCTGAAGCGATTTATGCACCAGATACCAGAGGGTATCCGGTGCATAAATCCCTTTGTACTTCCTTTCTGGGAGCATAATTAACTTCATAAATCCCTTTATACTCCCCTTGATACTCCCTTCCTGGGAGCAGACAATCCCAGAAAGGGAGTATCGTGTCTTCAGAGCACTGATGACACGGTGGGTGAATGTTTCGAAGAAAGCTGCATCGGTTCAGGATCGGACTGGATCTTAAATGCTCTCGGCTGTCTTTCGAGATGCTTTGCACAGACACCAGACGGGCAGACGTTATGGTATGAGATCAGACAGGCAGACGGTGTGGATGACCGTATGTTATCACACAACCACTAGAAACATGGCCCGTCTAAACCGTCGTATTGCAGTTGTGTGTCAAGAAGACGAGGCCTTCAGACGGGCATACTGCTGCGATGTCCCCGGCACCGGATATCCCTTTCGACGGAGGATGGAACACGAACATAACGTATTCAGTGGTGCATGTTGCTGGCGCTTCCCCCGTTCAGCCTGGTATCAGTCGTGCCACAGCATGCCTGTACCCCTTCGGCAATATCGGCCGTGCCGATCTGGTAAACGTCTTTAAGTCATGTCCAAAAGTCCAGAACGTATTTGTTCAACGCGTTTAAGAGGCCTTCAACGGTCCCGATGTATGAGATTTTCCCGCCTGCCCAGCACGTGCCGAGCACCGAGCGTTCTACGGTCCATTGCTTTTTCCCATCGGCAACATTCGGTCCAACACGAGCGACAAGTCGCACCTATCATGGATAAACTTGGCTACCGAAAACACGAGGCTTATTATCCGAATTCACAGAAAAATGCAGACATTTATGAATCATCATCGGGGTATGTCCAATAAAAAATGTTATGCATGTGCCAAGGTCGCTGTCGTTGAAGGTCTGATTGACAATGGTTGTCGTATGAGCAGTGCAAACCCAAAAACAAGTCGGGAACGTTGATAATGTTCTTTTACGTGTTGATGCGAATAAATCCATCAGGATCTAGGAGCCTACCGCGATCAGTCAGCAAATTTTATTATTTGGTTGAAAAAGATCAGTGAAGCGGGCCAATTATCAGGATGTCGAAGATCTCCCAAAATACACGGCATAGGGAGTCAGTTAAAGGTTCAACGAGCGCCGTTTGTGATATCTGGGTCCTAGCTTTATTTTAGACAGGCTTTTAAAATCATTGGGAGCTGGAGGCTGTCTTTCGCGGTCAGACTTATGTTGTTTGCCGTTGTCTGCTTCCAATGGTAAGAATTAAAGGTACTGCGCGCTCTGGCAATGTAACTGAACTGTCGAGCGGCTGGGCGTCGAATACTGCTACCTTTGACATGCATTTTTAGACGCAAGCGTGCTCAAGTTTTTGGCTGCGCTGCGCCGCGGGGTTTGCGTAGATGACGTGGGGTTTTGTCATGGCCGAGATGGGAAGCATGTCGGGAGAAGCTACCAAATTGTATGCTAAAATGAATACGATGGCACTGAACTATAGCGCAGACTAGGAGGTCAGCCTTTCCACAGCGGGGATTTTTTATGGGTCTGCTGGCGACTTGATTCAGTAATGTTCACCCTTGGTTTGGCGCACCAGTGCTGAATGAACCCGGATGAGCTCCTTGGCGCTCTCAGAATTTACGTCAGATTCGATTACTGTCGGCGGGCTCCCTGGATGATGTTTTTGATTGCAGCGGTCTATCCAATCTCGTCGGTCAGTACAGACGTCGCTCGATTCTACAGCGCATTTCGGACATCGTGTGCCGTAAATATGCTCTATCCAACAAATCTGTCCAGGCAGGAGGTTTCCTGCACGTCACGTTGTCCTCGCGCATAATGCGTTCAGTCTCTGTTACGCTCGGCCGGATGTCGCGGTCTGGTTCTGCCCAACGACTTCTGGTTCGGTGATGTTCGACAGATACCGCGCTGTATTGATGTATTCTGGTGGTGAGATGGCAAGAATGCGGTCCTATATGCATGGGTGGTATTTTTGGACTCGAAGCACGCACCACCTGGGCAGGCCGTAATAATCTACACTCAAGTCGCCCTACGATGTGTGTTGCGTGACTTAACACATCGCTCTCTCAGGTCTGCCTGCGATGTTTCTGCTGGATCTTACACATCGCTCTGAGTATTGCTGTGGTGCTATACCTTGTCGAAATGTGATTGACTAGTTTCAAAAAAGGTGGGTGCGAGATGCAGTCCCAGAGATGCGGGAAACTCCAGCGACATTCGTGTGTTGCTGGAGTGTTACCAGTTCACAGGCTAGATTTTGGAGCAGCGTGATGTCGTTGGCTGGTGGTGTCGAGCCGATGTTATAGTTAACTTCGCGACAGATTAGCTTGGTATGATGTTTTGCTCTGCTGGTGTCAAGCTTAATGTGCGAATCGGATTCAGTGGTGTTAAGCTATATGTCATTGTCTGTTGGGCGGCATTTGGCCGTGTTCCATGGCGTGGCTGGGTGGCGTTCGACGTGGCCCCTCGGTGCGCGCGGTGTGCCCGGCAGGCCGCGACGTTCGGCGCGCTGCACTGACCGCTCGGCTCTGTCCGCAGGAGGCGGTAGCGGCAGCGGTCGGAAGACCGTGTCCCGCTCGCCGGAGCCGTCCACGAGCGGCCAGCAGAAGCCAGCAGCCCGGCGCCGTCAGGAGCCGGCCGGCACCAGGACAGGTCGAGGTGGGTGCAGCTGGCGGCTTCCTCTTGTCATTGGCCCCGCTCACCGCATGGTACCGACAGCCACCGTCCACCGCTCGGAGCAGACTGCCATTCTGTCACCGCTGGGAGCAGGCCATCTCGGTCACCACTCGGAGAAGGCCTTCTGCCCTCACTTCCTCGCCACCCAGAGCTGGCCGTGCCCATCACTGGCATCACTGTGTCCATCACCGGCCGTAGCCGACCTGTCGTCCCACACGACGCTGAGCAGAGCTCCTGGCAGGGCTCAGAGAGGGGACTATCACCGCCCACGCTCGGAGCAGGCTGCCTCCACTGATCACTCTGAGGAGGCTGTTACACCTCACCGCTCGGAGCAGGCTGCCTCCACTGATCGCTCTGAGGAGGCTGTTACACTCACCTCGGAGCAGGCTGCCTCCACTGATCATCTGAGGAGGCTGTTACACCTCACCACTCGGAGCAGGCTGCCCCACTGACACTCTGAGGAGGCTGTGTTACACGTCACCACTCGGAGCAGGCTGCCTCCACTGATCACTCTGAGGAGGCTGTTACACGTCACCACTCGGAGCAGGCTGACCCCACTGATCACTCTGAGGAGGCTGTTACACCTCACACTCGGAGCAGGCTGACCCCACTGACCACTCTGAGGAGGCTGTTACACCTCACCACTCGGAGCAGGCTGCCTCCACTGATCACTCTGAGGAGGCTGTTACACCTCACCGCTCGGAGCAGGCTGCCTCCACTGATCACTCTGAGGAGGCTGTTACACCTCACCGCTCGGAGCAGGCTGCCTCCACTGATCACTCTGAGGAGGCTGTTACACGTCACCACTCGGAGCAGGCTGACCCCACTGACCACCCTGAGGAGGCTGTTACACCTCACCACTCGGAGCAGGCTGACCCCACTGATCACTCTGAGGAGGCTGTTACACGTCACCCTCGGAGCAGGCTGCCCCACTGATCACTCTGAGGAGGCTGTTACACGTCACCACTCGGAGCAGGCTGCCTCCACTGACCGCTCTGAGGAGGCTGTTACCTCACCACTCGGAGCAGGCTGCCTCCACTGATCGCTCTGAGGAGGCTGTTACACGTCACCACTCGGAGCAGGCTGACCCCACTGACCACTCTGAGGAGGCTGTTACACGTCACCACTCGGAGCAGGCTCTCCACTGATCCACTCTGAGGAGGCTGTTACACGTCACCACTCGGATCAGGCTGACCTCACTGATCACTCTGAGGAGGCTGTTACACGTCACCACTCGGAGCAGGCTGACCTCACTGATCACTCTGAGGAGGCTGTTACACGTCACCACTCGGAGCAGGCTGCCTCCACTGATCACTCTGAGGAGGCTGTTACACGTCACCGCTCGGAGCAGGCTGCCTCCACTGATCACTCTGAGGAGGCTGCACGCCACCCGCTCGGAGCAGGCTGCTCACTGATCACTCTGAGGAGACTATCACCGCCCACCGCTCGGAGCAGGCTGCCTCCACTGACCACTCTGAGGAGACTATCACCGCCCACCGCTCGGAGCAGGCTGCCTCCACTGATCACTCTGAGGAGGCTGTCACCGCTCACCGCTCGGAGCAGGCTGCCTCCACTGATCACTCTGAGGAGGCTGTTACACGTCACCACTCGGAGCAGGCTGACCCCACTGATCACCCTGAGGAGGCTGTACACGCCCACTCGGAGCAGGGACCCCACTGATCACTCTGAGGAGGCTGTTACACGTCACCACTCGAAGCAGACTGACCCCACTGATCACTCTGAGGAGGCTGTTACGCGTCACCACTCGAACAGGCTGCCTCCACTGATCACTCTGAGGGGCTGTTACACCTCACCACTCGAAGCAGACTGACCCCACTGATCACTCTGAGGAGGCTGTTACGCGTCACCACTCGGAGCAGGCTGCCTCCACTGATCACTCTGAGGAGGCTGTTACACGTCCCACTCGGAGCAGGCTGACCCACTGACCACTGTGAGGAGGCTGTTGCACGTCACCACTCGAAGCAGGCTGCCTCCACTGATCACTCTGAGGAGGCTGTTACACCTCACCACTCGAGCAGACTGACCCCACTGAGCACTCTGAGGAGGCTGTTACACCTCACCGCTCGGAACAGACTGACCCCACTGACCACTCTGAGGAGGTTACACGTCACCACTCGGAGCAGGCTGACCCCACTGACCACTCTGAGGAAGCTGTTACCTCACCGTCGGAACAGACTGACCTCACTGACCACTCTGAGGAGGCTGTTACACCTCACCACTCGGAGCAGACTGACCCCACTGATCACTCTGAGGAGGCTGTTACACCTCACCACTCGGAGCAGACTGACCTCACTGACCACTCTGAGGAGGCTGTTACACTCACCATCGAGCAGACTGACCCCACTGACCGCCTGAGGAGGCTTTCACTCCCATCGGAGCAGACTGACCTCACTGACCCTTGAGGAGGCTGTTACCACTCACCACTGGAGCAGGCTGACCCATGACACTCTGAGGAGGCTGTACACCACCACTCGGAGCAGACTGACCCATGACCACTCTGAGGAGGCTGTTACCACTTCCAACCGTGGAGCTCCCACTCGGAGCAGATGACCACTGACCACTCTGAGGAGGCTGTTACACGTCACATCGAGCAGGCTGACCCCTGACACTCGAGAGGCTGTGCAGACTCGAGCAGACCCACTGACCACCTGAGGAGGCTGTTACACTCACCACTCGAGCAGGTACCCACTGATACTTGAGGAGGCTGTTACACCTCACCACTCGGAGCAGGCTGACCCCACTGACCACCCTAAGGAGGCTGTTACACCTCACCACTCGAAGCAGACTAACCTCACTGAACACTCTGAGGAGGCTGTTACACGTCACCACTCGGAGCAGACTGACCCCACTGACCGCTCTGAGGAGGCTGTTACACCTCACCACTCGGAGCAGACTAACCTCACTGACCACTCTGAGGAAGCTGCCACCGTACACCACTCGAAGCAGACTGACCCCGCTGACCACTCTGGGGAGGCTGTTACACGTCACCACTCGAAGCAGACTGTCCCCACTGACCACCCTGAGCAGGCTGCCACCGTACACCACTCGGAGCAGACTAACCCTACTGACCACTCTGAGGAGGCTGCTACACCTCACCACTCGGAGCGGACTGACCCCACTGACCACTCTGAGCAGGCTGCCACCGTACACCACTCGAAGCAGACTGACCCCTCTGGGCACTCTGAGGAGGCTGTTACACGTCACCACTCGAAGCAGGCTGACACCAATGACCACTCTGAGCAGGCTGCCACCGTACACCACTCGGAGCAGACTGTCCCTATTTACAACGATGAGCAGACTTTCATCTCTCACCATCCGGACCAGGATGTCCGCTTTCATCGTTCGGAGCACACTGTTCCTCCTGGGCACCACTTGCAGAAGGCTGTCTCGCTGACCACGTCGAGCGGATGCCACCTCTCAGAACGGGCTGTGGCAGTCCTGGTCATCGAATGATGCACATTCCAGTGTTTTCAGCGATGCTCGGTAGGCCTTGTTCTCATTCTGTTTTGTCCGCGGCTCCAGGCCCTCGTGCAGATCCCATCCGATCATGTGTTTAAATTTTTGCGGGCAAATATATGAGTGCACACTAGCCATACGCACTCACCTTTACTGGAATCTTTTGAACGTAGATTCCCCATGAATAGTGCACAGGTGAAGCGTGCTGCGCCTTATCCGCCCTCCGAAACTGACGTAGCCAATAGCTGCAAGTTATTTCCTTCTGTGGTGTTGGAGCCAGTGACAGCACGAAATCTGATATGGCTTAGATATTAAAACGTGTCTCAGAAGTGGTCGTACCCAAATAACTGCACCTGGTCTGCTACCATTTTGTCAACGCGCAGCTATGATTGTGATTGCCCCTTCCCCAAAGGACCTTCCAGCTTGGGTGTTTCAGTTTATGAGCCTGAGGCTGGCTTGTTGTACACAGCACAGCAGATAATTCAGTTAATGTTCAGATCTCAGGTCAATTGCTCTTCAGACCAATTCTGCGATTTTACTTTACTGCAGCTTCACTGCGAGGAGTTTCAAGTTCGCATCCACTAAGCATGACTCGCATCCTGTACAATATCCATAAGTTCCAAGAGGAAGCGCCGTCGGCGAACTGCAAAAAGCTAGAGGACTGAACAAGAGCTAAACCACTGGAAGGATGAGAACTAGTCAGAGGAAAGAGGAACACGTGACAGAGAGAGACAACAGAGGAAAACGTGAAGGCAGTGGGAGTCTGTAGTCTAGTGTCCAGAGAAGTCCTGCCGTCGGCGTTGGTGCTCTCAAGAGCTCGCACTCTGGCGTGCGACCGTCCACCATGTCCCGCCTCACAGTTTTAATAATTTAACTGTACAAAGTACAGACGACATTCTATTTCTGGCTGACACAGACAGGGAAGCTTATTTAGACAGTGCCTACAGTGAAGTTAGATGGTGAACACTGATGAGGCCTGGATTGATCAGGTGTGATTTTCGGACGAGACTCAATTTCACCTCAGTGGCGTCGTAAAGTGCCAAAATAATGGATTCTGGGGAAATGAATACCCGAAAGTAGATGCCTCCCAAAGGCCCTTAAATAGCCACAACTGCACTGCTCAGGTTGCCAGAAGTCTGTCTGGCATAGCTGAACACCTTTGGTTGCAAGATGGGGATGTTTGGACGATATGGGTAATATGGATATAAAAAGTGAGAGGGAAGAGTTATATCATTAGATTTTGATTCGTAAAGGATTATGAAGCAGGACGTTACCACTACACTCTTGTAAATGCATCGCTTTTCTCCCCAATGACGCCCCGATTAGCTGTTCAGATTCATTAACGGGCAAGCAAAAAAAAAAACAACAACAACAAAACACAAAAAAACAAACAGACGATTCGCACATAATGCAGACGGCGTTTTCAGGTAGCCCGTGCTCATTTTGGACATCATAACTGGTTGGCAACTTGCTTACGTGGGCGCATACTTCATGCTTCATCAGAC